CATATAGACGTTTAATTGAGTATTGTTACTTGCCTTGTTAGCAGCATGATCGAGGATATAGATAATAATTAATTAAGAGTTTCTATTAAAAGGTTCAAATCGTTAAAAGAAAATCAAATATCATACCATTAATTTTAAATGATTTAATTTGGTTTAATTTAGCAAAACATTTTTCAAAACAATTTTAATATTTTTCTAATAATATTTTTCTTGATTAAGAGCAAATAATATTGTAGTTAATTATGATTTTGTCATTTCAACCATTAAAAAATAATAAATCTAATGCAACAATAGAATATATTCATAATGTCTTAATTTGTAGATATATATCATAATGTCTTAATTTGTAGATACTTATATATATATATATAAGCTATATATATATTATATATTTAATATATTTAATGTAACGTCCAAAACTTTGATCATCTAACTTTGATGAACCTTTTGATTTTTCATCGGTTTAGTGAATTTTCTCCTCAGTTTCTTCTGCTTTTTAGCAAGTTCCCAGTTTTTGGATTTTGCTTTGTTTTGTATTCAGTGCTTTTCTTCCTTTTTCTTTTTGCCTTCTCCAAGAACTTGTGTATTCTAGCCTAGTAGCAAACTGATGATTACATAATCGAGAAAGAAAGAAAAACACGAAAGGAGTAAAATAATACAAAATAAAATTAATCGAAAATAATAAAAATGGATGAATATAAAGTGATATGAGAATTGAGATTGAATGGAGAGAGAATATATAGCCAAATAATTTTAGATGGATAAGATTAAATTTTATAAGTGTTGGTTATTATTATAATATATTAATTTTTAAATTTTATTAGTTGGATTAGGTTTCGAAAACTTATCAATATTCTATTAAATACTAAATATTAAATTAAAAAATTATTTGAATTGACCAATCAAAATACAGAAAATAAGAAAAACTTAAAATTTTATAAGAAAAGAAAAATAGAATGCTGAACAAAGACAACTTTTTGAATCATTCTCTTTGTTTCAGCTTTCATATATATACACCAGCCGAAAAAACGTGCTTCGCACGAGTATTTAAATACTATTTTGTTAACTATTGTGATTGATTATATTATAATTTTTGATAAATTATTATGAATAATCAAATTATTTGGTAGAATAATCAAACATCTTCTTTGAAATAATTAATAATGGTAAATATAAAAATAATTTGTAAATAATAATAATTGTGATACTGTTTGCAATATCATAACAAAGTAAGCTTTTAAATTGGATTAAATTTAATAATCAAAAAATTGATACTAAAGTTTAGTTATTTTTTATTAATATCTAGTTATTTAGTTATTTTTTTATTAATTATCTAGTGTTTTTATTTTCATTTTCATACTAAAACAAAGAAGAAAATTATTTATTTGATAATATTTAGTTGATTTAGTTGATAAAGTTTTTGATATCCCAATTTGACATTTTAGAAGCATTATCTTTTATTTTATTCCGTTTAGATAGATTAAAATATTAGATCTAAGCAAGTGTTTTCAAATTAATATTGTAACTAAAGTTGTTTCATATTTCGAAATTCAAAAAAAATAAAATAAAATTTAATATGACTATATCTATCAAAATAATTAAATAAACAAACAAAAAAAATATTTTTTTTAAAAAAAAACATATGAAGATTATCATCATAGATGGCCAAATAGAAAACTTAATAGAAGAAATTATATTCTTGAAAAGTAAATTAAATAATAAAGTGTGTATTACTCGAACAATTAATTATATTCTTGAAAAGTAAATTAAATAATAAAGTGTGTATTACTCGAACAATTTTAATACAACGTTAATTCTATTCTCGTTAGACTTAAACAATTTAAACACAACGTTAATTCTATTATCGTTAAAACTTTTCTTAGCAAGTTTTTGCTCACTGTCTGTCTTTATCTTCCAATTTAAAAAAATAAATATAATAAAAATTAACCGTAAAATCAACTAACTCATGTTTCAAAGGAACCGAAGAGAAAACAGATCCGTTGGGGCTTTGTCTTGATTTCTAGGGTTAGAGCATTGAGATAAGCTGACATCGTCTTTACCACTTCCTGCTAAAAAACATTGAATAATGGATTAAACCAAGGTGATGCAGAAAAATAGAGAAGTCTAGCTACCCATAAACATAAACAACAATACAACGTAATAATATTTAAATTGCTACTCATATTTAAATACAACTATAAATTTTGCTGGAGCAGCTCTAGTGTATTTAAATACAACTCAAATACCATGAGATAATAATAGTTATTATTATATATAGATAATTATTATTATTATACATAGATAAAGTTTAACCATTTAAATAATTTAATATGGATAATTTATAGAAAATATTAGTTAAAATACTTAAGTTGTTCAATCACAATGCATAAAAGTTTTAAATATTTCTAAAACAAAAAAAATAGAGAGTTGGATAAAAAGAGAGCGTTGAATCTTCTCTTTATTTCAGCTTTCAACTTTCATATCATATATATATATAGTATATATATTATAATATATATAATTTTAAATGACTATTTATTCTTTTTGATAATAATCTTTTTCATTCATTTGATGAATAAAAAGTTTATATTCAAGTTTTAATATTAGATGTGTGTTATATTAGGTGTGTTCATCACACCACCTAAACCACCCAAACCGATTTAAAATCGCAGTTTTAAAATTGATGATGAGATTTGATTTTATAAAATTTAAAAACTCACTAAGTTTTTAAGTCGATTTACCGTTTTAAGGTCACAATCGGTCAAAATCAAACCAAACCAAACCGTTATATGTATTTATGTTTAAACTTTTAAATGATAAGTAATTTACTTCAATTTTCTTACATGGAATTTTTTTTTTTTTTTGTATTGAATAATTTATATTGATAGTAAATTATGGAATAAGTTGGTATTGGAAGTATTAAGCAATAATTTCATATTGATTAAGTAAACTATATAATTATTTTATAGAAATTTCAAAATGGAAAATAGATGAGTATATATTATACATAAATTAAATCTGAGCAAAACAATAGTTTTTTATATTTTTAAGGGAAAATTATTATTTCATCCCTGAGGTTTTACATAATTATTTAAGTAGTCCTCGACATTTATATATATATTTATAACATTCCTAAGGTTTGCCACCGTTATATTAATTGGTCCTTCCGTCAAAAAAATACACTTTTTCCGTTAATTTTGAGAAGAAAAGACGAAATTATCCTTTGGAAAAATTTATTCCTTGGAAAATAATTATTTCATCCCTGAGGTTTCCATAATTATTAGTAGTCCCTTACATTTAAACAAATATTTATAACGTCCCTTGAGGTTTACTCTTCCGTTCAATTAATTGGTCCTTTCCATAAAAAAAATACACTTCATAAAAAAATACACTTTTTCTGTTAATTTTGAGCGGAAAAGACGAAATTATCCTTTATAAGTTTTCATTGACATTATTATTAATCCATTTCTTCTAAAAAACCTCAAACTCACATTTTCACGATCTTCCTCAACCCAACGCGGTCTTCATTGCCACTACTGTGTCTCTGTCAAGTATCATCTCCATAACCAGATCACTATCAAAACTAAAAGGGAAAATAATTATTTCGTCGCTGAGATTTGCCATACTTATTTAAGTAGTCCAAAAAACACTTTTTGCTGTTAATTTTTAATAGAATGACCAAACTAACCTAAATCCTCTAATCAAGGAGAGAGAGATAAATGGATGAAGGGTGATGATGGCTTGATGCATGGCTTGATAGTTTGGTGCTGGGTTTTAGTTATTGGCGTGATCGGTTATGGAGATCGATAGTTTTATTGACACGCGTGGTGCAATGAAGACCTGCATTCGGGTGTAGAAATGATGGTGAACAATGTGAAGTTTTAAGTACTTAGAGGAAAGGGATTAATAATAATCCTAAATGAAAAACTTATAAACGGATAGATTTTCATCTTTTTCCACTGCAAAGATTAAACGGAAAAAGTCGTATTTTTTTTTATGGAATGACCCAATTAAATATGATGCGAAGTAAACTTCAAGCGAATTATAAAACTATTTGTATCAATGTAAAGGACTACTTAATAATTATGACAAACACCTCAGGGATGAAATAATTGCATTTTCCAAAGGATACATTTCTTCGTCTTTTCTTCTCAAAATTAACGGAAAAGTGTATTTTTTTTACGGAAAGACTTTCCAAAGGATAATTTCGTCTTTTCTTCTCAAAATTAACGGAAAAAGTGTATTTTTTTTACGGAAAGACCAATTAATATGACGGTGGCAAATCTCAGGGATGTTATAAATATATGTATAAATGTCAAGGACTACTTAACTAATTATGTAAAACCTCAGGGACGAAATAATATTTTTCCCTATTTTTAATAATAAATGTAAAATTAAATCAAACTTTAAAATTTTATATTTATAAATTGCTAAGTTAACATATTATTGAATATATAATTTTGTTATGCTAGAACAATTTAAACATATAAAAAAAAAATTAATTTAGTAACTTTCGGTAACTACTTAAAAACATGTGTATTTTATGTTATAGTTTGTACTAATTAATTTTCAATATTCAGTATAATGTTAATCTTATTTTTTGTTAACCAAATGGACGAGCAAGTTAATTTAATTTTTTTCAAATTGTTTAAAACGTCACGCCGAATCAAATCAAATTAAACTAAACTCCCAACCTAAAATTTGATTTAGTTTGAAATTTTTTGATAATTTTATTTAATTTTAATTTTTTTTAACTATAATTTTTGTTAGGGTCCATTTTACTTTTGAGTCGATTATTATATTCAACCAAACCGAATTGAGCCGCCGTCGGTCCTAAATTATATAATGCTCACGAGTTAGAGCCAAAATGAATATTATTAAAAAATAACTAATGTTATTATATATTGCTGCCTTTGTTCTGTCAATTTTCACGTCAAAACGTCGGCGTGGCATATAACTATTGGCAAACAAAGGAAAAATGAAAACGGATTGTATATAGTCCAATATAGTTGAACATTTTTCCAACTGAACAATCTGAAACTCTCTTTTCCTTTGCAGATAGAGAGTCTCTCGAACTCCTCCTCTATTTGATCTGTGAATAATGGCGGAACAAAGCGATACGGTGTCGTCTAGCTCTAATCAATCTTCTACTATTCAAAGTTCGTCTCATGACAACCTCAACAAGCAACCCCAGGTTTTTCTTCTCTTCCAATTGCAATCTCAGTCTCTTTTGATTGGTTTTTCTTTTAATTTCCTTTTTTTCCCTTAAATTTTACCCCTTTGGCTAATTTATCAAATCTTAGCGTTTCCCACTCTATTTTATTGTATTTGTTCAGGTTAATGGAATGGTCGTTAAAATTCTTTTAGGGTTTTGTTTCTGTTCAGTTCTAGAATCATTAATTTAGTATGTTATTAATCTTAGGTGCAGGCATTCTCTGGTTTTCAAGCATACCCATATGGGGATTTTCAGATGTATCCAATTGTATACCCTGCACTGGTACCAGGGTTAACTTCTATACAAACTCAGGAAGAAATGAATCGCGGAGCTGGCATTTATGCAGTGCCTGTTCCACCATTTATGGGGCCAATTGCCGGACTTCCATCAAATACCCTCGTTCCTCTTACTTACAATATACCCACGTAAGTTTCTGTTATACACGAATGCTAGTTGTTATGCCTGACCATTTTGCTATTTTTTTTCCCATTAGAGTTGCATAAGAATTTTTATGTGCCGCAAAAGCCTTTGGATTACTTGTAGTTTTAAGCATTAGACTTGATAAACTCAGTTTATTACTTTTCCAATCATCAATCATTAATGAAATATTGAATTGAGCTTAAGAGGTGCTTTCTTTATCATTTTTACACGATGAAGCGTAGTGATAATTCAGTTAAAATTAGGATGTATTTTATTTCTATTTTTGTTTTCTCTTTTTATGAAAAAGAGGTTAAGTTGTACTATATTGATAATGGTAGGGAAGAGTAGTGTGGATGTTAATCTGTCGAGCATTGTATTTTTGGACTTGCATGGTGTTTAGTTAATAAGGATGGATTGAAAGAGAAACTTGTTGCAGTACCAAATGACGATATAATGTAAATGATATTCTGAATAGGTAAGTGTCCAACTGGCCCATTTGCTGTGGAAGAGACTGGCTTTGTTAATAATTAATTCAACACAGAGAAAAATATCTCAAAGTTCATCAGTGAATGACACAGGAAGTAAGTTCCTAGAGTTACAACTCTAAGATTTACTTACACAGTTCAAAGATTGTAGAATAAATCCCACCTCAAAGAAGTTCAACTTTGCTGTAATTGATCCAATTTGGAGACTAATAGATTGATTAGAAACTTCAGCTGGAAATTTGGAAAATATGATTTCCAACATAGGGTTCTCATGTTGCTCTTTGAAAGATAACTTTGGAACTTCCTGAATGGTTTTCATATCCAATTTTGTGGTGGCACATACTTTAGTGCTGCTCCAACCACTTTTTTCCAATTCTTTTGGTTAGGAATTGGTTACTTTTTGTAGGGAGTGAAACAAAATACATACTATAATCATGCCATACAGGGAGTAGCGATTTACTACAGATTAGATATTGAAGCAATTGATTAATTGCTACAACCATTTCTTTGACAGCAGGTCGACTCATGATGCTGGGGCAGTCAGTGATCACGGGCAAGGGGGACAACAGCCACAACAGCAGCAACAGCCTGCACCTCAAAGACAAGTTGTTGTGAGGAGATTTCAGATTGCATTTCAGCTTGATTTGTTACTTATACTTAAACTAGCAGCTGTGATCTTTTTGTTCAACCAAGATGGATCGAGGCAAAGACTAGTTGTCCTCGTGTTCTTTGCTTCACTTGTCTATTTGTAAGTATCTTACAAGTAAAGTTGATTTATGATTGCTTTGTGCTCGATGTTTATGGATATATGGTTCCTGTGCATTTTGGAATAAGTTTCTAGAAAAAAGATCATAACCTAGTCAACTAATCGATCAAGGTAAATCGAGTCCTAAATTTGAGGATAATTCCCATGAGTATACAATTCAATATTCTGCTAGTCAGCAAATTGTTCTGAGCAAATCATGCCTGAAACTTAGGAGTCAACCGATTGATTGGAGCAAATCATTCCCAAATCTTAAGATTATTACCACGAATGCATAATACACAATCAATTGATTTGGGTGAATCATTTCCTGAATCCCTTCCAATCTTAGGATGGTTACCATATTTATGCAATACACAGGTAAACCCTTTAACCATCCTTCCATGGCTAATCATGAAACCTCAGAAACACATTCTTCAGTTCCAGCTGTTTCTTAACTCTTACTATATTAGAGATCATTCCAATTTAGTGGAATATGGGATTATTGGTTAAAGCAGTACTATTTTTTTTTTTTTTTTTTTTTTAATCATTCCAATTTAGTGAATATGGCGATATTGTTAAAGCAGTACTATTTTTTTTTTTTTTTTTTTTTTTTTGGATTTCAAAATTATTATGCTAGAATTTTTTTATGCTTTTATTTTGACTACTTGTCTTTTTTTTTTTTTTTTTTTTTTTTGGATTTCAAAATTATTGATGCTAGAATTTTTTTTATGCTTTTATTTTGATACTTGTCTTATGTAGAATTAGTTGTCTTCTTATACTTTGCACCTCATGTCACTCGGGAGGCCTGTGTCAGGCAAATGCCTTTAGCAACTATTGATTGTGTGCACTATGAAGATTTTCTTTACACATTGAAAAAGGTGGGAAGGGTAGGAATAAAGGGAGGGGGAAGGGCAATGGAGGTAAACATGGCCTGAGATATAGGATTATATCAAATATATGATATTTCTATCCATAATTAAACTAAAATTATTTGCTTGATGATATATTTGGCTAATAGAGGCTATCTACATATGATCATGGTGGATTACTGCATCTTCTCCTATATGATCATGGTCAAATGACCCCACTCATGAAGAGGCAGCTATGCCTCTGCCTTTCTCATTGTTCATATGAATGGATGTTAACTTAGCAAATTTGGATTGTTGCAGATATCAAACTGGAGCTCTCACACCATTAGTACAATGGCTCTCGCAGAGCATGCAAAGAGCAGCTCAACCTCCACGTCCACCCAGGCCTGTTGTTAGAGCGGACAATGTTCCTGCTGCCGCAAGGCAGAATGAGAATGTTGCTTTAGCAGGTGCTTTCTATTTCCTGAAGGATACCTAGAATATATTGTTCTCTGCCTTTTGTTTTATTCCTTTTATTGAGTGCATATCGTGAAGACATTATGAAGTTTGCATCTGTTCATTATTGCCCTTGCTCCAATTTAAAAATGTTTCTGTACCCTGGAAAAAAACACACATTATTAAAGCTGGTCCATATTGGACTAGCTTTTAGGTTCTCTAGTGCTGCAGGAGGAAGGATTCCCTTTCTACCATTCATTCAAATTGCTAACCAGTCGAATCTTATGCATATAATAACATTTGCCAGCCTTAACATATGCCATATTAATTATATCAAAAAATTGACTGCAATTTGGTAAGTGCAAAATAGTTTTAATAGCCATTCTTCCTCCCTTATGAATGGCCCAGTGTTTTTTGTGTTGAACCAGTAAATATCATGCTATATTATTGTTATCTAATGTGCTTAGTTGAATAGTGAACTATTATTTTCAACATGTCGCCGATTGTGTGTCTACTCAGCTATTGTGCTCTGATATTATTGTCAATCTAGACAAATTGGACTGAGATAAAAATGGTTTTGTATAGCGTCACAAATATTAATGTGTTAGGTGGATTGATGGTATCTTTTTTTTTTTCTCATGAATATGTAGAATTTCACTTCCTTCCGGTTTTTCGGTTCTCTAATCAACAGATTGGATGGTATTTACAAAAGAAAGCTAACTGAAGTTGAAAGGAGTCCCAAATTAGTATGTTATGATCGTTCTTATAGGAATTATTCCTACAGCATTTTTATGTCAATGCAGATTTACACCAGATGGAATAAGGAGAAAAATCATATAAAATGACCCTAATTAGTTTGGGATTGAAGGCTTTAATTGAGTTTCAGTAATTACTCATAATTGGTTTGTTTGACAACCTGTTGCAGAGGGGCAAGCTGGAGCTGATAATGAAAATCGTGCTGCAGGGGATGGTAACCAGGCCAACGAGAATGGAAATGTAGCAGAACCCAGAGGAGTTAATGGTGGTAACTGGTGGGGAATTGTGAAGGAGATTCAGATGATTGTATTTGGGTTCATTACCTCTCTTCTACCAGGCTTTCACAACATAGATTAGATCATACTTTAGCAGGCTAACCAACGTTATGAACCAGCATATAGAAGCTGGATACAGTTGTTTTGTCGTTTTTTCGTTTCTTTTTGAAATAATGTAAGAAGTGTCATCCTGTTTATTTATAGATATAACTTCCAGATATATATCTCTGCAATTATGGCTTGCATGTTGATTTTCAAATGTTTTTCTTTTTTTTTTTTTAGCTCATGTTTAATTGGCTTTACAAAGGAATGAGATGGTATAGATGACTAAATTTTAAGGATTAAATGTTAATTTGTAATTTTTTTTTTTATCACAACTCATTGAGGATGACTTTACTGACTTTTATACCTCTTTGACAAGCAGAGAAACATAAAGATTAGGAAAAACGTGCCTCAGATGTAGGGATGGGAGCGGGTGGATATTTATGAATTTTAAATTATCTATATTTGTATCCGTTTAAAATTATATTAACCATACCTATTAAAAATATCTTTAAATATCTATTTAATTATTTGTATCTAAATCTGTTAATTATTTTATTATCTATATCCAGTAGGGTACTTGCAAAATTTTAATAATCCAAATTTGAATCCGTTTAAACATCATTTAGATTAATATTTTTTGAAACTAATACTTTTTTTTGTTATTATTTTAAAGATAAATAAATATTTTGTTTATACATCAAATTAGTAACAATTTATTAATGGCCAAAAAATGAATTACTATGGATGAAAAAAATAAATTAATATAGATTAAAATACATTGACATCACAACATCAAAATTAAGACTTTTTATTGTTACTTTTACTATAAATGCTTGATAGAGCCAAAATAAAGATTTAAATTCATATTTTAAAGGATAGTATTTGCAATATAAAAATACATAGATAAATTATAAATAAAATTAAGAATAAAAATATTAAGTGATGGGACTTTATATAATTGATGGATAAAGTTAAAATATTATTTAATTTTTAAATGGATTCAGATTCAATCACTATACCTAATATATTTTTATTGAAATGTTAAAATAGAAAATTGATCTATTATGGATAAGTTAAAATATTAATTCTAATTTTAAATGGATTCAGCATTCAACTCAAACTATACCCTAATATATTTTTATGAACATGTTAAAATAGAAAATTGACTCTATTCATCAGTATACCTTTGATAAATTCGTATTACTCAATATTAATAAGCAAAATACTATTCTTTGAGAAAATCAATAAAAAAATACTATTCTAAAAAATAACATACAACTTACAAACTAACACCCTCTTTATACTCTATCAAATGAAGTTCGCAATAAATTACAGCGAACTGGGAATTATAGGAATATTTGATTCTAGGATGCATACTAGTTGAGCCTACTAGTGTCTTTGAGTATAACCAAATATATTACATTAATATTATAGTTTTAACCAGTAGTAAAATTATTTCAGTATCATCTAATACATATGAGCCATAATAGAGCATAATCACATAAGTTAACTCTCGAACAATATTATCACATTAATAAAATATTATAATTATATACTTAAAAGTAATGTTCTTATGTTATTTCAAATTTCATAATGGAAGACAAAAAAACGGTTTACGAGAAGCTTTGTTATTTCTTGTTCGGTGAATTATGACAAACAACCAGACAAAATGTCAATTATAATATAATGATTTTATTATCTACCTTAAGGACGGTTATAACTGAGGAGTATAAAAACACACTCTTGTTGAGAGCATGTAGTGCGCTTATTTTCTTTTCTTATTTATTCAGACAAGAGAGAACATACTCATCTGAATATTTATTAATTATTCAGAGAGTGTTAAGACTCAGGTATAAGGGTTACCGTCACATTTGTACGGATATACTTGAGCCCCATATTATATTATATCCATCTCAAAAATCCTCTCTTCGTGTATTTCTTCTCATTATTTAAAAGGATATTAATCACAATAACGGGTATCTTCGGTGTAACGTGTATCTCATTGTACATAAAATCCGTTTCCTACTCGAATCCAGTAGAAT